TCAGCAGGACATACATTTTTTTATTAGTCTTTAAACAATTGACTTGTTTACTTGTTTAGGTTTCTTGTTTAGGAATTCTTATATATTTCTCGGTTAAAAGTCCAAGTTCCAATAGAGCAGGAATAAAGTCCAAGCACCGTTTATTTAATATGTCTGTAGTAGTCTTTCAATTTCAATGTGAGAGAACTTATTAGGAATAAAGTGCTTAACATTTTGAGTGGGATTCTTTCATTAAGGAATGATTCCTTGATTTTACTAGTGTTAGGCTAGTAGTTTTCTATTTTGTTTTTACATTAATTTATCATATTCTACATCTATTTTCAATTTCTAAATCCCCAAAACACAATATTCTACATCCCGGTCTTGAAACCAACCATCTAAAACTTGTCTTAAATAGGACCGAACCATGAACTTCTAGTCTTTTGGACCATTTGAACCCTAGCTAGTTTCCATCTAGGCCTGGATGTATTTCAACCCTAGCTAGTTTCCATCTAGGCCTGGATGTAGGTTTTGGCCCTCTTTAAATGCAATCCTATCTGTGATGGTTGGTAAGGATGATAATTTTACCCGAACCCGATAGATACCCACTACCCAATCTGAATAGGAAGGAGTTTTTTTTACCCAATAGCCTGAAGGCAAAATTCAGGTTTCGGATCGGGTTCAGATATTGCTCTACCTACCCGGAACCAACCCAAATACATTAATAACCTTAAGGTTTGATGAAATTACACTTATACCCAGCTATGCATACATTAGTGGAAAATTTAGGTTTTTCACTTCTCCTTTCAGCTTCCAGCCATCACTTCACTTCCTCTCACTCTCTTCTCCATCTAGTGGCGGCAGCAGCAGATCTAGCAGCAGTAGCAGCCTAGTTATGGAGTTGTTTTTTTTTCAACTGATTTCTGTGTGTTATACTGTTTATCTCAAAATTTGTTTTGTAAAAGGTACCAAGCCTTCAATCTCTTTTGGATTGACATTCCTTTGATTTGTTGCAAGAAAAAGAAAGGTCATCATTGTCTCCTTTGCTTAGCAATCTCACAAGGAATATTTCAAGTTTAGACAAGTTTAATTGTTGCTGGAAAATAAGGTTGAAGATACAGGTTTTCATGTCTTTTCAATTTCTCAGCAGCTAGGCAAAAAGATT